GGTGTGACCCCAGAACAGGCGGTGTGAGCCCAGAGCAGGCGGTGTGACCCCAGAGGCTGGCAGGTGCTGCCCAGCAGTGGTCAATGGATCCTGAGAAATGAGGCTGGTAGTTGGCCAATCTTTCACTGATTTGGCTTGTTTTTCAGCTGTTACCTACATAGCAAAGCATTATTTGCTTTCCTTTCTCTTCTGTTTTAATAAAATAAAGGATAGCACTAGACAGGTAATCTAGTGGCCTCAGTGGTTACTGACTTAATAGCTGGTTGAAGACATTCCAGAAATATGCACTGGCCTAATGAGAAGCAAACTGGGGGACGAGGGAAGAAGAGAATCTTCCATGGACCAAGGTGACTATGCCGAGAGGCGGTCGTTATGAATCTAATTTCCAGAGCATCTGACTTTTAAAAAGCTACCATCTACCTAATGTACCTGAGTTCTCATGAAATGAGAGGAAAACCATCTATTAGGCAAACAGAATTGCTTATATCATGTGTAGAATTTTCTTCCCCAAACATTCACAGGTGAAATGATAACACATTTAAACAGCTGAATGTGTCTAGTTATATATATGTGTATACACACACACACACATACACACACACACATAATATATGTATGTATGTATGTATGTATGTATGTATGTATGTATGTATGTGTGTGTGTATATGAAGATTTATTTATTTATGCCTTGAAGAACTGCAGAATATAGGCTAGAGGTACAGGGGTGGTGAGAGGATTCACCAGAGACAGAGCGGGAAGCAGAATAGGCAAATGGACTGAAATACACAGCTGAGGGAGCAGCGGGCGAGACAGGAGAGGGCTGCCACGCCATGTGGGTCACTCCCTTGCTGGGGATTGAACTCAGGCCATGATGGTGCCAGCACTTAACTCCTAGGCTATCAGGGAGGACCCCTGGTGAGTCATAGACCAAAGCGTTGGGAATCAGCTCTATAATGCAGTCAAAAGGCACAAAGTTTTCTAAAATCTCACAGGTCACCAAGGCCCGATGACTTATAGAGCTGACACCCATGGGCCTAGGAGAAACAGGGCAGTGTTAATTAGCAATCATCTCTGACAGCTGTGCAGAAGCTGAGGCTCTTGGATGTAAATAAGGAATTATGTTTGCCTAAAATGGAGATCATTTTGCTATCATTTCAGTGATCATTGGAGTCCCAGGGTCACTAGGTGGGTGGCACTTTTTAGAAGTCAGATGCTTCTGGAAATTAGGGTTCTTAATATTTGCCTCCAGACATCTTTACCTTGGTCTCTCTATTGTTTGGCCCCTCACTTGCTGTGTATCCTTCCTTCCGGGCAGCAAGATCAGCCTCACATGTTTATTCTTGTGGTGTCCCATTAATGAACAATTCTAGGTAAACAATGCGTGTCAGCAGAATTGGGGACCCATTCATCACTGATTAAATTCTGGCAGGCGAGCATGCAACCTCCAAGCGGGAAAAGTTCGATATTTACATGCTTCCTTGTGAGCCCTTAAGCTGAGAGGCAGCAGTCCTAGCAGGTGATGGTGGCTTCTTGGGGAGTGCTGAGTGCCCGAGATCTGCAGCAAGGGGCACTCACCTGCTCATGGCGCTTCCTCATGAGGATGAGCTCTTTCCGCATCCCTTCAATCTCCTGCTCCAGGTCTGTTGTGATGATGGTCATGCCGTCCAGGGTCCTTCGGAGGCCCTCAACTTCCACTTCCAGGTCTTTTGTGAAAGAGTGTTCATTTTCATACCTGGGGTCAGAAGGGAGGGAAAAGCACACCTGGCGTTGGAAGGTCACAGGCTGGCGAGGACTCACCTTAGTTTAGAGGTGAATGCTCTTACTTTGCAGGCTCAGTGGGGCAAATGAAGGCGTGTGGTGCATCCTTTGTGCGTCTGCTTCAGGCAGGTTTTTCTATGATGGTGACTCAATGTTAATTTTTTTTTAATTAGAGAGAATAAAGTAATCAGCCGCCAAAGGCCCAAGGCTGAGATTCCACACGTGTTAACATTTTGCCATATTTGCTTCACCTATATACTATTTTGTATTTTAAAGTAAGTTATAAACCTGAGGACATTTCACCCTTAACTACTTCATGATGTATCTTTTCAGAGAAAGATATTTTTCTGCCTAACTATAGCATTAGCACACTGAAAAATAACGGCGTAACGGCGACTCTTGAATATCACCTAATTCTGTTCAAGTTTCTCCATACCACTGTATTTTACATCTTTTTTTTTTTTTTAAGATTTATTTATTCGTACAGAACTGGGGTACAGGCCAGAGATGCGGATGGTGAGAGGATTCATCAGGGACAGAGTGGGGAGCAGAACAGGCAGATCGAGGAAGTACACTGCTGAGGGGAGCAGCAGGCGGGTCAGGAGAGGTCTGCCGCGCCATGTGGTCACCTCCAGGGCAGGCGGGGATGGAACTCATGCGGAAGCGGCTTAAGCTTCTCAGTGCTGCGCTTCAACCCACTGCGCCACCAGGGAGGGCCCTTATGTCTGTTTTTTAAAAACACATGTCCAGCCCAATACTTATTCTCATTAGGCCTTGAAGTTTTATTTTTGAGAGATTTTGCTGGGGTTAAGGGTGAGATAAGCTTCCTTTTGCAAAATAAAAACGAGAGCCACTCCCCAAAGCAACCCAAAACACTTCACAGGCCCCCATAGTGCTGGGAAAAGGCACTTACTTGAGGTTGAAGTCGTCCACCGCCATCCTGGCGTTGTCAATGAGAAGGACGATGTGGGCATTGGTCTGCTTACCATCCACAATCTGAAAGGTGCACAGGGGTCACACGGGTCAGACACTCACAGGAGGCTGTTTCTGCCCTCTGGTCCCCTGGGTGTAGGACTTGGTCACCTACATGACTTTTGCTTGTGGCAGTGAAACAACAGACTATCAAGCTACTAAATATTTATTGAGCACTTACTAGGTGCAATGCACAAGCATAGGTCTGCAGCCAGGTTCACTGGCTTTTTCACACTAGGTTGGAGAATTGACACCCGTGGGCCTAGGAGAAACAGGGCAGTGTTAATTAGC